GAGCGTTCTAATCTGTATTTATAATAGTTTTGCTAGAAAGTACACGGTTTCTCACTTTCCAACCGCTTTCTAAAAATGTGAAAAGAACAACGGCGAGCACCCATTCCGATTCGTGTTCTAACGGCACGTAATTGGCCGTCGCGGGCTGCGGTTGAAACTCCGAGTCGTGAAGTTTACCGCGGATCGTTGGAACGCAAACGAACCTCGCGTAGCTAGAATTTGCGTTTCATCGTGTTGACGGAGCAAACAAAGAAAAAGGAGAGAAAAAGGAAAAAGTAGGGAAGAAAAAAGAAGACACGCATCGGTGTAAACTCGAAAGGGAAAACATGGAAATTTCTTCCATCTGGAAGTTTCGAAAATCGAGTACGCGTATTCCCTCCGTATTTCCATCATCGTCCGACGGCGATCGTTTTCTCGCTATTCCCGCAAAGCTTGCAATTTTTCATTGTTATCGTTAAGCACTGGCAGACAGAAAGACTCATCCGCCCCTTTGATCGTTTTAAATGCTCGGGTTAAAGGCTAAGCGTCTCACGCGGCCTACAAAAGGTCGTTACCACTTTAACAGTGTCGTACATAAGATACGTTTGTACGACGGTGTACACATGCGTATATGTGTGTGTGTGTGTGTGTGTGTGGCACACACGTCGAGAGTATCGAAGCTGGCGAGGACGCTCGCGTCCCGTTGTCGCTTCAGCAGGTATGTTTCGAGTTATAGAACACGACACCTAACGCGCGAAGTGGCATAATATTTGCGCCGCATAAGCCTTAAGGTCGTGTAAATACGTTCTTCCTCGATGGTCGTTGCACGTTCCTACGTCTCGAGGCTGACTCGAAGCAATCGCGAAATCGCGTACGCACGTAGTGTGTTGTTACGACATGGCTGTAAATTGTAAGAATTGGGCCACCGCGTACACCAACACACCGTCCGTGTACGTATACGTCACACGCGAATGCTGGCTGCTTTTTTTCGCGTCGACACAAGAACGCAGGCGCAATTATCGCTAACGCGGATGTCTGGTCGCGATTCGCGGGGCCTTGGCCGGTTTCCCTTTCGGAGTAGCGAATCGACATTGCTTAAATACCAAGCGTAGTTGGAGCTCGAGAGGAGCTCTCGATGTACACCCTTCACTCGTATCGATACAAGATACACGCTCTCAGTTGGAACACTAGCGCGAGGAATTTCTATTGTACCGACAGGAATAATATTTACGATGGTAAATCGATATGTTAGCGAGATCGGTAAACGCGCGCGTCGTTGTCGATAAAGTAGGAAATCGTCCGTTATAACGACGGTCGGTAATGTAGAGGTTTTTTTCGAAAGAGGGAATGATCGTTCCACGGTACGGCAGGTGGAATAATTGAAAGATTCGAAAATCTCGAAATAGCAAATGAAACGGTGCGTCTTACCTTTACTCGTTTCCGGCTGGATACTTTCCGTCTTGATTTCCGCCCTCGTTGCGTACGGGATAGATGTCGGAGATGCTTGCGACGAGGGAGCTGCTAATTTTTCTGCAACGAAAACGATAGAGTCGAATGAAATTCACGCTACGTTCGATATCTCGCAGAATACTGCAGACTCACCTGCTAACAAAGGATTGGCGGCTGCGATATTGTACCTTTGCCGTCTACAGGAAGGGGTTACGGAAGTTGTAGTAGACGTGGGTTGACTGGCTTCAGCCAAATCAGCTTGCAGTTCTCGAAGGAATGTGTCTAGCGTGTCAAAGGGTTCTTCCCCTGTGACACCAGCCATTCCTTCGCCCTCTTCCGCCGGCATATTTGGAGCAGCCGGCGTCCCGACGAGGGCACTCAATTCCATCGGGGAAAATTCTACCGATTGCCCTGTACTGCTCTCCTGGTGAATCGATAAACTCTATGTTATGGCGTGTGCTTTTACGAGAAAACGACGCTGTCCGTTCAAACGAACAAGGACACCATCACGGATGACCAACCTGGAGACATTGCGTTAAGTCGACCATTTTGCCGTCATTGTCAGGGCACCAAAGTAGCTCGTCGTCTATGAAGGGCATGTTTGACTCCTCCTTGGGCACGAGGGTGGAGGTTAGCGTAAGGGTTTGCGATACGGGGACCGGCATCGGGACCCGTACCCTGCGGCGGGGCCTCTCTAGCCACCCCCGCGCTTTCTAACATCCAAAACCACCTCTGAAACGTCCCCACTTTTCGCCTCCTTCTTTTTCTGCTCCGCAGATTTCCCTCTTTCGATTTACGCGCTACTTTGATTCCCCTGAAACAAAATCAAACTTCCTTTACTTTCCTTTTCCTTTAGAATTCAATTTCCTAATGGACGAATAATGTCGCAGTTACGTATTTACTTTTTCTCTGCACGCGGGACGGGCATGCGCACTAGCGACTAATCGCACGGAGCATCGCGTCGACGCATCACGGAATCGCGACGCGTAATAGCCGACGGCGAGAAACGGAACGATCGGTTTAATTACGGGTGCAGATGGCGAAACGATACGTCCGATCGTTCGATTCGTCGACGCGAACGACCGATTCCGATAATTAGAAGTTGATTCGTGTATAGTTGCATGTAACGGAGCAGGTAACGCTGGCATTTCCATGAAAGTGAAAACATCGAGTGAAAACTTTCTTTCTGGCTTGTAGGTTGTTTCACTTCCTGTGCGCGTAACCTCACTCTCCTGCCGTCGCTGCATTTCTATGCAGCTTCTACACGCCGCTGTCTTTACGTAATCCTTAGCCGCGAAAGAAAGTTTCTATCGTTGCGAGGAGGTTAACATCCTCTAGTCTACCTATTCAAATATCGCTCGCTAGCCGATGTAATCGGGAGCAACGCGCTGCATCGAAAACGCAAGGCGATCAAATATCTACGTACCCGCATACAACGAGAGAGAGAGAAAGAGAGAGAGAGAGAGTGCGAGAGAGAAAGAGAGAGAGAGAACTCTCTCTAACGAAAGCTTATTATTTCCTTTCTTTACGTAATCGGTAGAAATTTAGCGAAAGAAAAGTATCTGTACGAACTCGATATACATATGGATGTACGGACGACACTGTTTTCGAGCGAAAGCAGGTACGTATCGTTGGACTGTACGAAAACGCATTTCAAATTACCCGCCCGAGACAGAGTGGGACAGTTTTAACATGGCAGACGACGAGAGCAGTTCGACGTCCGAAGAGAGTTTGGACGTGCAAAGTGTGAAATTTGATCCGATGAAGGCGCTCTATTCCACAAAAATACAGCTTTCGGGCAGGAAAGCGCCGATTTACGACAATGTTTCCAAGTTCGAAGCCGTACTGTCAGGTTTATCCGCACGACCGAAAGTGCGTACCGCTCGCGCGTGCCGATCCTATTACTTTCGACTGAGGTCCTCTGTTTTCGTATTCTTTAATCGTTTCAGAAGAAAGATCAAACGGTCATCGGCAAACCAGGAGAATGTTCGAGACGATTTTTACCTCATCAAGGTAAGGGACCGTCGTTATATTCCCGATACACCACGTGTCGACGCGTCTCGTTTATTGTCATCCGGAAGAGTGAGGTTATACCATTCGGTGGAGGCAACCTTCGAATGTTTCACGAGAGATGGCGACCGTGTGAAACCCTTGCATCGTCGGGAGGTCGCAGTTTCATTCATGATAACTCGCACGTGGTATCAAATTTCAATATGCTTACGGTTAGCTAACACGAACGGTGTACGTACGCGGAAGTGGAATGGGGAAGTCGCGTGAGAGTCTATGACGGTTCACGCGTCCCTTTTACATCCAAAGAAACATAGTACGCGTCTCGCGTGATTTTTCCTCGGCCAAAGTATATTAACCTCTCCGCTTTCGGAAACATCGCGACGAGTGGATTTATTCGAGCGTTGGCTCGCGGTATTACGCTGTTTACTACGCCTCTGCGCTATCTTCGCAAAAAATGGCAAGTTCTCGCGCGTCTCATTGGATCGATCGGTGGGAAGCGATACGGCACGCGGCTTACGACGGACGAGCCGTCATCGTCGAGGTAGTTCGCTCCATATTCGCGAGATTCTCTCTCCAATGAGTCACTCGGACGTATACTTTTTTTTTTCCCCTCTCGGTCGGCTAATAACGCGAGTAAACGACGCCGACTCTGGACTCTATATCCCAGATATTGGCATACTTTATTTACGATCCGACAAATACCACGAAGGTCGTCGGTATGCCTTCGCGAGCGGTGTGCACGCGCGCGCGCATAGTCGCGTGGAATTTGACCTCCGCGAAAGTGCGTCAACTCGTGGAAGCCCCCTCGGTCTCATTGTTTCCTCCTTCGCGACTGTCCTTTTATCGCGTGCCTCTGCACCAGCGGATCATACCTAATGTTGCCAAGCGTTCGCCGAGACCTTCCTTCGGATACGTATTGCGCAAACGCGTGGCGTGGAATCCGCGGCAGAAGGTCTTCCGAAATGTTTCGCAATCGCGGAAGCCTTCGAGCGTCGATCAAAGCGAGTACAGGGTTATCGACTGCTCATTTTTTCTCCCTTTCTATTTCAGCGCCGCGAAGGGGGCCAATCGACGAACTATCGAGTCGTCGTTACCAACGTTGTCGTTATCGGGCGAGACGGTTCGCGAACGGACCACCGTAAAATTGCACATGACGTATCACTGTCACGCGTCGCGTAGTCCGCGCCAATCGGGAATCTCGCGTCGCGCAGTTTCTTTTCGCCGGCGAGGAAACCGAGGAGCGTGGTTTCGACGCGGATTTCGCAACGGTGGATGTCGAACGAGAAAATGGAAGGCGGGGAAAAGCAAAGTGGCCGGAGGAGTATATACACCGGCGGACAGCGGTGGTATTACATCAGACGGTTACTGGCTACGGCGCGGTGTGTGCCCGGTCGAAACTTGACCGAAGCCCGCGTCGCTTCTTAACCGTGATTCTGACACGGTGCCAAGCGAGGTCGGCTTAGATTTTCAGTGAAAGTAGCGCGGTTACCGAGGCTCGCCGACGAAATTTCGGCACCGTTCGCTGTGTCCTCATGGCCGGCGACAGTTCGGGGGAGGTGAAAGACGGCGCGCGGCGCGGAGAGACGGGGTGGGAGAGGGGGGGCGGACGGCGGGTTGCGCGCGGCATAGAAAGCACGGCGAAAGAGGGAAGAAGGACAGAAGGGGGTTGGCGGGGTTACTCGGTGTAGACAGAGAGCTAGCCGCGTTCCCTTCGTGTCCCAGCGGGTAGCCCGGGGGTATGTATCTATTGGCCGGCAGCCAATTACACGAGGCAGCCGATAAATCACGGATCCCTGACCCAGTGCAGTTTTATATTTACAGGCGACGCTGGTGCGCGAGAGAGGTGGAGGCACGGGCGCGCGCCTCTGCCGCTGCCACTCGCCGCGGCATTCACCGTCTTTCTCTTTCGTTCTTTCTCCGTTCGTCCGCATCTCTCCGGCTCGAGTACCCGTGCTGCTGCTGCTGCTGCTGCTGCCGTTGCTGCTGCCGTTGCTGGTGCTGTTGCTGGTGGTGCTCGTACTAGCGATATTGGTAGTAGTAGTAGCAGCGGTAGTAGCGGTGGTAGCGATGGTGGTGGTGGTGGTGGTGTTGCGTGTAGGGCTCTCTCGTGTGCCGATGCTCTCTCGCGCGCGCGACATCGCGTGGAAAGCGACGGCGGAGAGATAGAAAGGGGGAGAAAGAGGCGAAGAGCGAGAGGGAGAGGGACAGAGGGCTTCTTCCACAAGGGGGTGGAGAGGGGCTGGCCGTTGGACTGTATGAGTGAGTGGGGTGGGGTGTAACAGCGTATACGTACGTAATGCAGCACTTGTTGCGCCCGGGCGTCGACCTCGGACTCAACCCGAGGCTCCGCGCCGGATTGACCGTCTTCTAGACCGAAAATTTTGCACGGTGCATCGCCGACGTAACCTCGTCGGGGTCCTTCCACTTCCGGTCCACGCGTCGTCTCGCTCGTCCCGACACTTCCGATCCCCGATTCGAACCTCCGTCATCGGAGGATCGGTTCTTTCTCTTTTTTTCGTGCCCGATGGCTCACGATTCTTCGATTCTCGAAAGAAACGGTCATCGACGACGACGAGGATTACGAAGTACGTATTCCCGATTCGGACGCGATTCTTTTCCGAGATGTCTTTTCGAAACACGCGTGGGTGATATCGGTGCAGGGAGAAAAGGGTATCAGAATATAGGACTCGGATTTTCCTGCGGTTGGAATGGGGAAAAAGCGGCCGGTATCGTTGCGAGTCTCCTGTACGATATCGAAGAGGATCGCGGGCGCAGCGAGAGTCGCAGCAGCACTTGTTGCGTCCGGACGTCGACCTCGACTCAACTCGAGGCTCCTCAGCTTCGGCGGCCTCCGAACACGTTCGGCCGGAACTGTGATTTTCATGATTGCGCTTATGTAGAACGTAATCGAACGTTATTATCGTCGCTTAATTCGCTTCGGGCTTTCTCGCGTAACGCTCGTAATATTCCGTGTGCCGTGTACATAGGCTCGGAATCGTCCATTTTCCCTGCTAATAGGTCCCCGACATAGTCTCTCGGCTCATCCGTCCGCGGCTATCCCTTCCTCGCGGCCGAAAACCGGAGAAAGCACGTTCGAGGAATCGACTTCCGACTCGTACGGAGCACGACGACGATCCGCGTGTGCTGGAGACCGGTGAACGATTTTTACCCGACCTATCCCAACGTGAGTCATTGCTCGTTCCACGGACTACCACGCGTCCAGGCTCGTCTCGAAACGTCCGACGATAGACTCGGTCTCCTCCTCGACAGAGAGAGGACTCGAAGAGGGAAAGAAGAAAGAGAGAAAGAGAGAGAGAGAGAGAGGGGGGGAGAGGGAGGGAGAGTGACGGGATGGTACGTCACCTAGCTCGTCGTCGAGGTCGTCGCGAACGACACCGCGAGTCGGAACGCAAGAGGCGCGAGTTGGGCCGGCAGAAAGGCGATGCAAAGCGAGTAGTCCGGCAGTCGTTCGCCCCGAGTAACGGAATACACGTCGCCGATGTTTTCCCTTCGATTCTCGCCGCGTGTTGCGCAATATTTATACGCGCGCGACATATGCATCCACCACTCGGTAACTCCACCACCGAGCGACGCGAGCGGAGGGGACTTCTTTTCTTCCGCGGCAGTGGCTCCGCAACGGCCACCGAGCAATCCCGTCCAACGCACGATGCATCGCGGCCTTTTTCTCCGGCAACGTTATCGGATACGGAAGCGTTCCGACTAGTCTCGAATTCCTCTCGCGAACCGACCGACCAACGAGCGAACGCGCCAAGCAGAAGAGAGAGCTCGCAGCGGGACAACGCTCGTTTTTCCGACACTTTCGTTGCACGGTAGACGCGCGACACCCGGTAGACTGGACGATCCAATTCCTCGCCCGTTCGTGTGCACGTACCGCCGCCTCGACCTATCCCAACGTAACAGATGACTATCGAGCACGTCGAAACGCCCGCGTTTCTCACCCTCTCTCGCAATTTCCAAATTGCCCAGTCTCTCTCTCTCTCTCTCTCTCTCTCTCTCTCTCTCTCTCTCTCTCTCTCTCTTCATTGTTCTTTCTATCGACGGATCTTTTCTTCGCGATGTTTCTGTCGCGAGAAGAAGGGAATCGGAAAGACGAGAAAACGGAGACGACGTCGGTCATCGAATTGGCCAACGAGGAGAGGAACGCGACGAATTTCCTAGATTCGTATCGTGGATCTCTGGTTACCGAAATTTACACCGTCTTTCCTTCGTTGGATCTGCTTTTGTTCCCCGCGAACGCGCGCGTGCCGATCGTTCTCCTCTAGGGTAAAAGCGATTTCTCCTTTCTTCTGGAATCTCGCCGAGTCCCCGCGGACTTTCCTGCCCGCTCGTTCTCGCGGTCGTCCGCTATTTCCCACGACTGGTCCCGACGCCGCGTCGTTCCGCGAAGAGAGACGGAGAGAAAAAGAGAGAGAGAGAGAGGGGGGCCCTTGGAAACCGGTAAACCACGAAAACGGCGGCAAACGTGGCACGAAATTCGCGTGCGCGTTCTTCTACCTCGCGCGTATCCCCTTCGGCTCGTTACCTGTCCGCTACTTAGAAGAAAACAAAGCGAAACGGGAGTGGGAAGGGGAGAGAAAGAGGGAGAGAGGCAGGCGAGAAGGGATCGAAAGGGCCTGGTCGCAAAAGTAACAGTACCTACGGATAGTTCGCGTAAAGCAAACTCTCGCGAGGCGAACGAGCCAGCCGGCCTTTCCTCGTGTGCGTGCCTCGCGAGCACGCGCGCGCACGTATATACGTACGTACGTACGTACACCGTCGCGAGCACCTCCTTCTTCACCTCCTCCGCCTCCTCCGCCGCCTCCTCCTCCGCCCCCTCCGTCCTCTCCTCCTCCACCACCGGCGCCCTCCTGCCCCCGCGGTGTACACACACGAAGGAAAAAAGCGACGGATGTGTAGGAGAGCGCGTGCGCGCACGTGCAACTCGGTGGAGCGTAGGTACGCGTCGCGTGCGCCAGTGTCGGCGCGCGCGTGTCCGTGCGCATGTACACGTCCGCGCGCGCGTGTGGAGAGGTCTGGTGGCTGCTCGGCTGCCTGCCTCGGCTCTCGGGTGCGCTGCCCGCCAGGACGTTGAACCCAGCGCGACTCAACCTGGGGATCATCCGCGGGTACAACCAGGCCTCCGCACCCTGCCCCTTCCATCCCCCCTACTCGACCCACCGACACTTCTCTCTCTCTCTCTCTCTCTCTCTCTGCTCTTCCTCCTCCGCCTTCTCTTCCACCTCCTCCTCCTCCTCCTCCTCCTCCTCCGCCACCTTCTCTACCGCGTCCCCCTTCTCGCTCTCGCGCCTCTCGGAGCACCGCTCTCTCTTTCGTTCTCTCCTTCTTCTCCTCTCTCTGCATCATCCCGTCGCTCTTCCTCGGCCGTTACCTCTTCCTTCTTCCTCTCTCCGCGGCCTCGCCCCTCCCCCCGCGATATTTCGTCGACAGCGGCGCGCAAGGGGGTACCGCGAGTCGCCCCACCTGCCCCGCGTACGAACATTCTCCAGGGGCCGTCGTACCCACCTGCATAGGATCCTCTCCTCCTCGGGACCAAGTGCTCCTTCGCACGCACGGTAAACATTTTTGCAGGTGAACACGTGAGATACGCGGACCCGCGCCATCAGGGGGTGGCCGACGATCGCCGCGCTCTTTCGTCCCGGTCGCGGGGCCAGCTTTCGCGCGCGCGCGCGCGCCACTGTTCCGCGAAACGCGGAGGCGGTTTCGCGCCGATCTTCCGGGAGAAACGCGCGCCGGGTCCGCGAATGGCACGCACCTGCGCGATTTCGCCCGGAGTACGAGCGGGAAAATCTTCGCGGAGATTCCGCGCGAGACGAAACAGGCGACGGTGGTGGTGGTGGTGGTGACGGTGGTAGTGGTGGTAGTGGTGGTGGTGGTGGTGGTGGTTGGTGACGGTGGCGACGTGCGGTGGTGGAAGATAACGCCGGGGCCGTTTCGCGCGGGCTGCGCCATCGCGGCGTCCGCGACTCGAGTCGAGTGGACTGCTCGCAGTTGCAAAAGCTAACGGTTCCCTCCGCGGTTCACGCGCGTGAACGCTCCGCGAGCGGCCGCGCGTTATCCGCGCCGTTCCGCCGGTGTATAACTGAGAGGCGAAAAAAGCTCGGTGGCCGGCAGGCCGCGAGGGGCCAGCGGTGGAAAAAATAGTGGCACGTTGGAGGTGGCCGAGCGTTTATGTCCTCCGCCTCCTCCTTTCTCTCCTCTCTGCCTCCGTATCTCTCGCCGGCTTCTCTTTCTCCCGCGCCTTTCTCGAGAGCTCGCGAGATCGTGCAGGCAGATTGCATCGTCGCGTGGAGAACGAGAACCGACGACCGGGTGGAAAGCGACTGTCGTAAACACCGAGGCGACCCTTCCGTGCCACGAGTAAATATTCCCAAGCTTTCCTTCCTCTCTATCGGCCGGAGACGCATCGTCGTAAAAGCCGGAGATGCTCCGGGCGTAATTTCGATAATCCGTTTTACGAGCAGGCCTTTCGGCACCCTCCGCCTCTGCCCCCTTCGCGGCGCGTCGGGGAAAAACTAGGAGGATCCGCAGACGCGCGAGCGCGTCTCCGCTATTAGCCACGCGTGTACCGTAAACGAAGCAATTTCTAATTTCACCGCGACCCCGCTGCCTCGCGACGCTCGGCGAGGAAGGGGCACGGGGACGTCGAGTTCTCCCTCT